TTTTTTTTTTTTTTTTTCTTTTACCAAAATATTTTGATGCCAGCCTTCCTTCCACTGTCCTAAACAATAAAGAATTTTTTAATGAGTTGAAATTAAGGAAGGACTACAACTACTAGAAAAGAAGAGAGGAAAAGTTTTATTAGTTTGAGGTTTCAGAATCCCCCAAAACCAGGAACAGTAAGGGTTAGGTTGGCACCCCACACAGAGTATGAGTATGTGCAGGTGGCATCCCCGATGATTCAGAGCTTCAGGGACTGTGAGTGCTCCAGCTGCATAACTCAGGGACTGTCCTGCCAGCTTCTACACTGGCTTGACTGGGCATAATTCAAAAATGAAAAGCTCATATTCATCCCATACTTCTGGAGCTCTGTGATAGCCTTTAATCACACCCCAATGGGATGGCTTCCACGTACTGTATTATGGTATTTCTTCAAGTAATTGGTAAAAGACACAGGGTCTAATTGTTCTATAACACTAATGCTCATTTTATCTAGATGTTCAGTGGATCTATAAATCTCTCCCTGGGATACATCATACTGACTGTAACAGAACCTTGGACCCCAATGGCAGAAATCAGAAGAAACCACAAAGAGATTCCTAGGATCTGCTAGACATTTACTGAAGAGTTTTTCCAATTCCTGTCCTCTTGACTCACTCAGAGCTCCAACCAGTACAGGAATAACGGTAACCTCATCCTTATGGCTTTCCATGGCTTTAGCGGGATGAGGCAGATGCCTTTCAATACCGTGTTCATCTTCACGTGTCTGCAGAGGCATGCGCTCTCACATTCCTGTTCTCCACAGTTCTTCATAAATGTCTCGGCCAATACGAAGGTCATACAGAAGGACTCTATGTACATCCACACTGGGAAGTGTACATGGAGAGAAGGGCGCGAGGAGACGGCCCATGGGGGAAATTCTCCAGGTAATCCATGGATCCACTTGTCTGTGAGCCTGGGCAGCACAAGACCCACAGTGCGCATATCCTGTGTGGGGTGCAGTAATGGTTCTGGCAGATATCTTTGTAGACTGCACTTGTGAAAGCCGACCTTCTAACTGTGCATCCAGCTGAGGTCCTGAGGCCGGGTACCAGCTCCTGGCCTGACTGGCTTCCCAGCAGACCACTCTGTTGGGCATCTTGGGGCCTGTGCCGCTTATGGTGCATAAGGATGAGTGAGGAAGAGGTAGCAGTGATGGCGGCAGGAACGGCTCTGAGGGG